GGGTGGCTCTTTTGTAGCCATTCCACAGCCACTAATTATGACTAATCCAAGTTTACAAATATTCCTCTGAGTGATTGGGCTAGACCCATTTTAACTAAAAGGGAAAATTAAGCCATATATATTATATATGTACATATTTATGTAAAGCATAGTACAGCAATATTACATAAAAGTTTTATTGCTATGAGTTTGAGATGACATGTTGTAAGTGGTAAAGCCACAAGTGAATTATGCAGGTCATCTCAACTAAATGCCAATAAAATGTTTTTACTGTACCACATCATCCGGTATTCTGCCTATGCTACAAATTTAAAGAGAACCAATTTTAGAAATTTCCAGAGTTGTAAAAGTTTTTATTGGCACTATATTTCAAACTTGCTGGCCTGTAAATATTAGTTCCATTAATTGTGGCAAAAATTAATGCACAGAGATTTTTTTAAAAAACACTTGTGACAGGAGTTTTTCTAAAAAACATCTCACTTTCCAGTTTAGTTTAGTTTTTCCTGCTCTAAGTATAAACACTTTCTACTTTCTTCCCTTTTTATGTAAGTTTTTTTTCTTTTTTGAAACCCATCTCAAGCTCCATCTCCAAGAAGCTCTCTGTGGGTACTTACGTCACCCCAAGTTTATTTTTCTGAACTCTTGCTTTTTCACTCATTGCTCATAAATTCATTTGGCAAGAATTTTTCGTTGGGTTTTAACCACCCTTTTAGTTCTGATTTGTTCTATTTTTTTCTCAGAATTGTAATTGAGTGTATGTTGTCTTCGCTAAATAAATTCTAAGCTCCTAGATTGTGTATTCAGTGCCTTTATATTGTCTCTGGACTCTAGAGCACTGCTTTTTAAAAAAATGTTCTTTTTTCCCCCTCCCTTCTTCCTTTCACAGACATTGATTCAGTACCTACTATATTCTTGTCTAAGCTATGCATTGGATTTTGTAGATGAAAGGCAGCCTAGAAAAAAATCTTACAGAAACTATTCTCAAACTATCATGAGCACAAAAATCACTTGGAAAGAATTGTTAAGGAAGTATATTCCCAAGCCTTAAATGCAGAGATTCTGAACTAGGGGCCAAAGATCATACTTCTAAATACCAGGTGATTCAGATGCAGGGAGCCCACAGACCATACTGAGAAACCCAGTTCATAGGTGATGGGAGAAAGTTCCCTAAGTTGACCGTCATAATGCTATGCTATTTAAAAAGGCCTGTGGTAGCAACATACTGCAGGTATTTGAGGAGCCCGGTGGAGGGGAACCTACTGAAACTGGGGAAGTCAGGGGAGTCATGTCATAGTTGTTGCTTACTACTTGTGCTGTGAATAGAAGGATGAATATTTGAATTTATAATTGGATGGAGGTGGTTGAAATCCTGGGGCCTTATGACCTTGAACAAATTCCTTAATTTCTCAGAGTCTGAGTTCCTTTATCTGTAAAATTGGGATGATAGTAACCACTTCAAAGAGGATATTTGAGAATGAAATTGATAGATATAAGTAAGAAACCTAGCACAGTGCCGACGCAGAGGTACTCAGTCATTAATTACACTTTCCCTTCTGTGCCAGCAGCCCCCTGGGGATAGCTGTGGTATCTCCTTGGGAGGGTGTTTGGCCATGGGTCAGTGTATCCACAAAGCTACAAAATTGGTTTCCGTTACATTGGTTTCAGTAGTTGCTTGGCATAATTTATTATTTATTATTTTCTATTGAGAATCTATAGGTAGATCTACAGAGAGCTGTGAAAATATCTTTGACCTCTTAACTGTTTCTTGTTTTAAATAATCTGGGCAGAAGGGGAAGTGAGAGAATGGCTCTCCTTTCCACACCAAGACCTAACGTAGAAAGTGGCTCCTGGCCGGGCGCGGTGGCTCACACATGTAATCCCAGCACTTTGGGAGGCCAAGGCAGCGTGCGGATTAACTGAGGTCGGGAGTTTGAGACCAGCCTGACCAACATGGAGAAACCCCATCTCTACTAAAAATACAAAATTAGCCGGGCGTGGTGCTGTGTGCCTGTAATCCCAGCTACTCGGGAGGCTGAGGCAGGAGAATCGCTTGAACTCAGGAGGCGGAAGTTGTGGTGAGCCGAGATTGTGCCATTGCAATCCAGCCTGGGCAACAAGAGTGAAACTCCATCTCAAAGAAAAAAAAAAAAAAGTGGCTCCTGAGACCAGAGACCCAGCTTTGTGGTGGTTTTGAATGCTTGATGCTGATCATTCTTGCGTTATGTAGGTATACGTCTGCCTCTTCTGTTCCAATTGCCAACTCTTCTGTGAGCTCCAAAAGTTTGTTTGCTCCTTTGTCTCTACCCACCTACCGTATTACTTTGCCCTTACTAATCCCTTCATAAGTACTAGCATATAAAAGAAAGTAGTCCCTCAGAGAGGCCCCTAATGGTTAGCTCTAGTCCCAGCAAGAGATGCAGTATTTAACTACTTTAGGCAAAAAAAAAAAAGGTTGTGCTTTTCATAGTACCATAAAACTGTCAATATTGCCTCCTTTCTAGCTGTGCTGCTTTAATGGTCTAAGAGTGGATGACTTACAAGTTACTCAAGAAGACTGAGTATGTATTTTGACTTACAGCACTTCCTGAATGGGCTTTTCAAATTAAAATTACAGTTTGTGTTAAGTTGTTTTACTTTTTTTGTTGTTTTTTTTAAAGGTGGCTACATCTGCAGTATTTCCTAAAAATACAATAGCTGTGATTGGCCATGCCAGTTGGCATCTGTCTGTGGTTCCCCTGGCTTCTTGTTTTAGTTCTTCCCTCCTCCTGGTAGGTCCTGTCTTGATCCTAGTCAAGCCTTTATACCCCTTTTAAGACTTCTTTCTTAAGAAAGAAGCTATTCCCACAAAAATGAGTTGCCACTTGCAGTGAAAGGCATAATGGGACAGGAGGAGGACCAGTGTTTGTTGAGTGAATAAAGGAGTGAAACTACTACATCACAGGCAATTTTTAAAAATGAACAAAGGTTGGGTGCAGTGGTCCATGCCTGTAAACCCAGAACTATGGAAGGCTGAAGTGGGAGAATCACTTGAGCCCAGGAATTCGAGACCAGCCTGGGCAACATAGTGAGACCCCATCTCTTAAAAAAAAAATAGCTGGGTATGGTGATGCACACCTGTGGTCCTAGCTACTTGGGAGGCTGAGATGGGAGGATCACTTGAACCTGGGAAGTTGAAGCTGCAGTGAGCCTTGATACTGCCACTGCACTCCATCCTGGGTGACAGAGCAAGATCCTATCTCAAAAAAAAAAAAGAGACAAAAGGTTGATCAGCTTCATTTGTAAGAAAAAAGACTGAGTTGACTCCCCCACTCAATTGAAGATTGTCTTGTTATTATAGAGACACATAGTTGTTTTAGGTTAGTGCCTGACAATGTGGATGACAGATCAGTGGGGAATGATACGTTATTTACATGGTTCTGAACTTCCCTTTCCTCCTCTTACCCCCACCTTGGGGCTGCTCTTATGTTCTACTGCTGATTCAGAACATGTTAAAAACAGCCTGAAACGGGCAATTCATCTGCATCCAATTCAAGGTATACTTATCATTTTGAAGAAAAGTCCGTCTTTTAAAAAAAAAAAAAAAAAGTGGAAAGAGAGGGTAGAGAGAAGCCAATTTCTCTAGGTCAGTATCAACATGGGAACAGCCATTCTATTTAGAGCTGACAAACCCAGTAGCCATCTGAGAGAGTTCTTTAGCTAAATAGGTGTGAAGCAGAGGCTGTATCTTGAGGGTACTTGTAGTTAGGGTCCCCAAACATATGGCACAAGGTATCTTTGAACAAAATAACAGACGGCAATGTTTGCTCTGTGCTTTTAAGGCAGGTGTTTTATATAATTTTTACATTATTTATTTGATGTGATTTCTCACAACGTACTTCATCACATCTAAACCCCAATCATGACCCTCACCTACAAAAATATTACACAGAGGAACAGAAAATGCCAAAGTTGTAGGGCTAACAAACACCTTCCAAGCCACACTTTGGCCTAATAGTATTACTTGGATATGTTTTTAACAGGTACTAAACACAATTTTTTTTTTCAAGAAAGGATTTCTTTCTTGTTTGTGATTATTTTGTTATTTTTGTGACTTCTTTCTTTTGCTTATTGTCTAAAATAGCTCAGTGTATTCATCAGTGGTATTAACATGTGAAGGACATAACCAAGGACTTAGTCCATAGGCAGATATGGTCCATTTCTCTAATCATTTCCTGCCCAAAGAGCTATGGCAATCACTCTTTTGCTTGTCACCAGTGAGAATATCTTAAGAAAATTAAATTTTCTAAGAAGAAAATAAAACAACCTCTTTGAAGCCATAGCCAATGACTCTTTCATACTTTTATACCAGAGACTGAGGTGTTTCATAATTGTGGAATGAATGAATTAACACATATCTAGGACCCTTCTTCTCAAGTCCAGTCTAATATAAGCTCCTGGAGGGTGGTGACTTTTTGTGTCTTGTTCACTGCTCTATCCCTAGCACCTTGAACATTGCATGGCACATAGGAGATGTGCCTCGCCTCTCCACTCCCATGTTGAGTGAATAAATGATCAAAGCATTTCTTAACCCTAAAATAGTTGGTGATATCTCTCATTTGCATTATTGAGAACCTCAAACTTACACAGCCATGTCGCAAGTCAAAGGAGTCTCCCAGCTCAGCAAAATATGCACTTATTATTATTTTAATTTTTTCTTTCCATAGGTTATTGGGGAATAGGTGGTGTTTGGTTACATGAGTAGGTTCTTTAGTGGTGATTTGTGAGATCTGGGTGCACTTACTGTTTCCAAGTAATTCTGTTAAACCAAAGGTAATATGAGAAGCTCATCTTTGTTGGATGACATTAGCAACAGAAGAATTAGTTTGACAATTGACTGATAAATCTCTGTGACAGAGAAAATATTGTGCTTACATATATTAAAACAAATTCAGAAAACAAATAGTGTTCTCATCATTGACAGAATAGGTAAAAGCAAGCAAACAAACAAATAAAATCCATTGTGGGTTTTTTTTTTAATCAACAGAATCAACAGGAAATAAGCCCTATTGTTTCTTCATTAGTTACTCTGTGCAAATTTTTCTCCTCTCCCATCGCTGTTTTCAAATATGGATTTCAAGATGCGCTATTTTGTGCGTTTCCTACATTCTTATTTTCATTCTTGCACCTGCTGTAGGATCTTGATTTACCCTTACCACTTTGCTGTGCCTCAGCTTTCCCAGATATAAAATTGGCATCACAGTACTCATCTACCTAGCAAGGGGGTGGGGAATATGAGACTTAATTAGTGAACAGCTGTAAAACCTCTTGAGATAGTTCTGTGAGTCAGAATGGAAGTGCATCATTATTAATCATCATTATTATTGTTAGTATTTTTAAATGGCTCAGAGCCGTCTCTAAATTTAGTAGTAAAATGAGTTCATCTAATAATTCTTTCTATGTACATGCTCTGTGGTCATGCATTTCACAAATTAAATGGCAGAATACTTGTAGGATATGATTATAATGATCCAAGTAAATGATCCTCAACCAATTCAAGACTATGTGATTAAGACCCCAAGGAGCTAAAGCAAGCAGTTTGCTTTGTTACCTTTTAGCTTCTCGAATAACCCATTTTGTGTTAATTTATGTGAAAGGGAAGAAGTTAGCTCTTTAAAAATTAACTTGGAGTTTTCTGTGTCATTAGTTTGGAATTTGGGAGTAAGTGGGTTACTCCTTAATTTCCAAATAAATCTATCTGTAACACCTTGTCCATAATCTACATTTAAATGGTTTCAAATATGATTGACCTAGCCTCCTAGCAGTTGTTGAGTCCAGCATAATTTATGAACTTTCAAACTCATATGCAGTACCTTCAAATATCATCAGAAAAGAAAATCATATGTATTAGTTTTGCAGTTGTTCCCTTGTCTCCTCCTGTACCCTTCTGTCAAGAAACTGCATTTGTCTCTGAGGTTATGTTGCAAGTCAATGGAGAATTGCCTTCTACTGTACACTGTTTGGTTTCAGCTTGAATTATCTCAGGCAGACATCCTAGCTAGCTGCAGTGCAAGCTCACAGGGCTCAAGCCTGAGAAGACTTAAGTTTGGCAGCCCACTAAGTTAAGGATGAGAAAAGAAAAAAGAAATTCTATCTTTTCTGGTGCTTTTGCCCTCTTGGTTTCTCCACTAAAAATCAATAGCATGGTCGATAGTTGGTTTTGAGTTGTTCACTACATGCTGGAGTTTTTCTGATGTAAACCTTTGGTGTCTGGGCTTCAGACATTCTAATGTGTCAGGGAAAGTTTGATAGCTGTCACAGCTCTCCTGGGTTACATTTTATTCCCACGATAGCCTTTGTCATTTGAGAACAGAAGAACAGATCAATTTTTATACCATTTAGTTGTTGGGGGAATTTCTTTTCCATAAATTGATTTTTCTTTGAAAAATTTACAATATTTATTTTCCTTCTTCACAGCAAAGCAAATAAAATGAAATCTTTTCATTAATGAGTATTTTAAAATAAAAGCATTCCCAATCTTGCTCTAAGTTGTTAAGACTCAGTTATATCCTGTTCAAGATTTCTCACATTCCTTTTGCATGACTTGGAATGACACTTTTAATTTTAAATGTATCCATTTGGGAAAACCTGGTGTCTTTTCTTAGTAGTACTCTAGAATGGCAATATCAGGAAGAATAAAGTGGCACAACAACAACAGCTCTAATGCTCGTGTGGTTTTAATGCAGATTTTGGTTTCTTTGAAACTAAATGATTACTTTTATGGGTACCAAATAATTATGGATAATGAATAATTATTACAGGTGATGTCTGTTAAAAAGTTTTTATTTTTATTTTGAGTCTTCTCTATGAAATCTTTTGTTATCAGGACTATCAGATAGCATTAATTAAATAAATCATTAATTTTTTCTTCTGAAAATATTTTTAGTTGCTTATCTATCTTTTCCTTCATTCTAATATGTATTCTTCTTCAACATAATAACTCTTATTGGAATTATCCTTGAAAAACTTGAGGTAACTTCTTGCATGTTGAATGACTATAAGATGATAAAATTGTGTTTGTAAGGTGGCTTAAAGTTTTAAAAGATAGCTTTCTAAGTGAAATAATTGTTTGTATAAAATTGTGTTGAAACAGCATCTTATAGAGGAGCAAATGCTATGTCTTTAAACACTTAATATATTATTCGAAATAATTGTCAAATATTTGAACAATAATATTTAAGAAGAATACTAGAATTGGGCGTCTTTTCATCAGATAGTGTTAGATATCAACTATGCTGTATTAATTGAAAGGATTGGGTATAATCTTGTAAAGAAACAGGAAAATTCTGGGCTTTCCTCTCTAGTGAAAATATATCATTCATGTCTTTCATTACCGTGCTATAATTATGGTAAGTGAAGCAGAACGAGATCGATAGAGCAATTTATCAATGCATTCCAAACTATTCTAGCATGGTTTGCGTCATACCACTGCAGATACTGTCATTCAATAAAGAGACATCTAATAGTATAAAGACTTCAGAAGGATCCATTTCAGCATAGTGTCTTTCTATGTGATACTCTAATTTTGATCATGGTTTAACTAATTGTCTCGCTCTGTATAGTATTAAGTGAAGTAAAATGTTTTCTCTGTTGAATATCAATAGAAATTTTGAAATTCAGCCTTCAAGTGTAAAAAGCACTGCAACAGTGTAAACATTGTTATTAATGCATGGCTTTAGCCTTTTTCAGTGCCATTATGAGTTATACCACCAGTGAAACTAGAATACAAGTCAGGTATCCATCATGCCCCCAAAAGCATTAAATCTCAAATAACAAATATTGGCTAGGAACGTTATTTAATGACTCCAAATTTTTGTCTTTTAACATCAAAAGATTCAAAATTCTTTAGGCTTTATCCTCATATTTATGATTTAACTGTAAGAGTAGGTTCACAGACTAGCTCATTTAGACTTTTTTTTTTTTCCACAAACCATACACAATAGGGTCTTTTTTGTAAATCATAAATCTTCCCCCCATACTGATACAATATTAAATATTGATAACAATAAAGAGCAGATACTGAAGTATACGTGAAAGTTATTTAGTTCAGTATGGACAAAAGATATTTTCAAATTACTGAATTGTCATTTTCTTTTTTCATGTGGTATGAAATTATCACCCACTGTCATTTTGGTTAATTCAATTTTCTACAAAACTATATAGGTCTGGTATTGATGCCAGAGTCACACCAGTGCGAAATTGTCATTTGTATTTCAGGTTTGTAGACATCGAGAAATATTTGCAAGGACAGAGCTTATTTTTTATTGAGTTAGAAATGTTGAAACGTAAGGGAAAAGAGTAAAGTTAAATATGACAACTTTGTCAGAAAATTGTATACATAACTCTTGATTTTGGAAAAATCAGCACCTGCAAGTTTTGTCTTTTTGGGTTTTTTTTTTTTTTTTTTTTTTTTTTTTTTTTAGTCTAGTTCATAAGATTACATGGTTTTGGTTTATAATTTCTTTACCTAAGGAGAGTTTTGTGCCACATGACTCCTTAAGAGAGTTTCCATGAGCTCATAAAACATGAAATGGGACAGTCTGAAATATTGTGATCATTTTCTAGAATTATACCTGATGGAATGTGATGACAGCACCTCTCCCTTCTATTTCATATCTTGAATTTGAAAGCACTTGGGAATGTGTTGATGTCAATCATGGCTGTGTTTTTGGCCATCTTTCTTTCTTTATATCTTCCACTTTCCTACTCACTGGTGCCCTTCTGATACTGTTTCTTAAGAGCTTGTCTGTTAAAGGGTTAAAGAATCAGATTTTAAGCTGCTTTCGTGCAATGTATTTAAGTTAAGGAAATTGGGATATCATTACCTCAGTGAGGATGTTGTAAATTGTTTTGTTGGCAAGATTTATTGGGGGTTATTTTACCTGATATCACATTGTATTGTTTAATGTGGACTATTTTTAACTAGCATTCTATTTAAACAGTGTCAGCGAATTCTGAGAGCTTGCCAAACAAATTCTCAAAATGGTTGCCAAGCTGTAAGATGGCTGCCAAGGTCTGAGCACACTGAACAGGTTCAAAATGGTGACCAACTTCTCAGAATTTGTTGGTCAGATTCCCCCACTGTCAACCCCCTCCCCCCACACAACTATCACCCAAAAAGGAAGGAAAAAAACCACAAACCCGAAGATGCAAGACTTGGCACCATCTCCTTGGCACGAGTGGCTGTAGTGTCATCCAGAGATTCAAGTAGTCACCGCGTACTACTTGTTTCACATGCTTGGCAGAAGACTATTCAGAGGAATACATGAGGTGAAAAACCACTGTAAAATAACATGGCCATTTTCTTTACCTTATCTAATATGCACCAAATAATTCTTTAGAAAGGGGGAAAAAGCCTAGACAAGGCAATACTTTCAAAGAGCTTTCTAAATGAGATCGAAGAGCGTTAACTAAGACTTCGGGCTGTGCCTTTTTGTACTGCTTGCCTAAAGTGGCACAAACTTTATATACAACAGGTTTAAGATTTATTTTAGTTTTGCATTTGTTTACTTAAGTTTATAGCAATTGCTTTCTGGCAGTTGTGGTACTTAGCAGATTGAAATAAAATCATAAGGGTGAATTAAAACATACTGCTGTTAGTGCTGATTAGAATTTTAGCTTAGTGTAAATACCGGATGCAGGGTCCAACTTTTCAGACACTTGGCATGAGCTCAATAGGGATCTCCAGGCTACACAGGAGACAGTGTGTGTGTGCTTGGATGCTTTTAAAATTCTTGGATAGGTGGAGCATACTACTTCTGCTGGCATGTTGGTTCATTGTGCTGGCTGCATAATGTGCTTGGATTCCAAGGTAGATAGAAGAAGCTGAGGAAATGGTAATAAGGGAAGATAGTTTGAACTTAAAAAACAAAGCCTGGAAAAAAGAATTTTATTTGAACCCTCTGCAGTTTGTACTCTGTGATATGGTTAATTATATAAATAACCAGTACCAAACTAAGCTGAAAATGGCAGGATTTGTAGTAGTTTGAAGAGTGACCTCATAGTGAATATGTTTCCACAAGTTGTTGAAATTTTTCTGTGTGATACTTAAAAAAATAGATAAATTAACTTCTCCAGGCAGTTAGTTTAGTCAGTGAATTCCTGAAATAGATCTTCTGTTTAATATCAGCAATGGACTAGGTTTTATATTCTGATTGAGACCTGCATTCCTAAAGATAGTTTTTAGGTGATAAAACATTTTATTTAATGCTTAA